AGAGTCCACTAAAGTCCTCCTTAATATTTCTAGGAGGCAGGGCTAGAGTAATAAATCGCACAGTGGAGAGGGCATTTACCTTGCACATAGCCAACTTGCGTTCGATCCCTGGCATCCCATATGGTCTCCTGAGCCCCGTCAGGAGAGATTCCTGAGTGGAGAGCCAGGAGTAACCCCTGAGCATTGCCAGGTGTGACCTAAAAAGCCCCCCCCAAATTTTTTTTTCCTAGGAGGCACGGGCCGCAGAAGCAGCGGTGAAGTTCCATGGCACAGCCACCAGCACTCTCTGTACCTGGACACAGAGACCTGTGGGGCCACTCTGAGGAGCTGGACAGGCAGGCCCCACGGTGCCAGCTCCCACCTGAGCCTGGGCCGGCATGTGGCCCAGCCCCGTCCGGCAAGTCCTTCCTGTTGACACAAACACCCACAGAGCTAGGGACACCCGGGCACGGGCCAGGCAGAGCCCCAAATGGGGTCGGGCAGCGCTGAGCCAGTCTGTGCCGGCACCCGCAACACTGCTGAGCGCTTGCAACCAGCTGCTCTCTCAGGACAGCAAGGCAGGCCAGCGCCGGGGCCAGTGCGTGAAGGGGACAGGTGGTTCATGGCTTCTGGGCACCCTGAGCCCCAGAGGCAACTTGGCCATTTCCAGGGCCAAGTTTCCACGTGGCTGGTGCAAGAATACAGTGGGGCAGGCACGTGCCTGGCACACGGTCAGCCAAGGTTCAATCTCTGACACCCCATATGTCCCCTGAGCCCTGCCAGGAGGCAGCCCTGAGCACAGAGCCAGGAGTCAGCCCTGAGCAGTAGTGGGTATGGCCCAAAAACAAAACAAAGAAAGAAGAAGGAAGGAAGGAAGGAAGGAAGGAAGGAAGGAAGGAAGGAAGGATACTATGGAAAAGGAACGCTAATTCCAGAATGACAAATACATTCCTGAAGATTCCAGAATTGGGCCAGGAAATAGTTCAAAGGGCTGAAGCACCCAGCTGTGCTCAGGGCCCCCGGGAGGGGCGTGTGGATCTCCAAGAACTGCAAGGGATACAACCTCCCCCCTCAAAAACAATCTCGAATTTTTGGTACCAGAAATTACATGAGTCTTCATTCTTTCCCACCCAATCCTGGTTGCCTTGAGTCTCTCTCAGCCTCAGTTTCTCCCTGTGCTCCACTCATATCTTTGAATCATCACAAGCAGTTTTGAGCACTGCCTGAGGAGGTTTTAAAACTCATCCAGCAAAGTAAGCTTCAATAAAACCAGTAATTCCGTCCACATTTCGCACCCCGTGGGATTGGAACAGGAATGAGAAGCAAAAAACTGAATAAAAAATATAAAAATTAAAATGAAAAAAAAATGGAAATGGTTTGGAATCCAAACCGCATGTGGAAATGCCTGATTTTCTGGCCTGGTCAGGTTTTACACGGCTGCCCAGAGCAAGCTATGTGCCAGGTGGACCTGAGCCCCCAGCAGAGGTAAACTCGATCTCCAGGCAACCCGAATGGTCAGGTAAAGGCGTCCTGCTCTTGACAGCTGCTCTCTGCAGCTTGGGGACACTGGCCGGAGGTCATGGTGTATGGTGATGCCTTTCCACACTTCATTGCCTGACATCCCTCCATAGAGAAGTGTTTCCCCTTCCTGTCTCGTCGGTTCTGGGACTCATGATTCTGCACAGGTCTTAGGCATGGGGTCATGGACTGCAGGTATCAGCACACATGGGTCAGTTCTACTGAGCACTGGAGAGAGGGGAGAGCAAGGCTGGTCGTGCTTGTGGCTGATCCAGGGTCGATCCCCGGCATGGCAGATGCCAGAAGTGATCCCTGAACAGAGCCGGAAGCAGGCCCTGAGCAAGGTTGGTTGTGATCCCCCCAAAACAACAAATAACAAATGAGTTCTTCTCAGAACATGTAGAACTCGATGATAGGACAATAGTTGGGATAGAGACAATGCTACATGTCTAAGCTTCCTACAAATAGGAACTTATCCAACAGACCGTTAGGGAAAGTTCCATGAAAGGGGCCATCTATATCCAAACATCTGGCATCCTGATGATGAGTTGTTTCCTGAGATGTCCTCAACCCCACAGCAGCCACACGCTCACAAAATCAGGATTCAAAACTGTCTCGGTGTCCGCCCAGGCCAAGGCTCACCGCTCCCCCCGCCCCCCACCCCACACACACATACACACACCTCTCTCAACTACCAAACAGATCTCGGTCGTGCTTTGTTTTATCTCTATTGACACTAAACTCCTTCTAAAAAGCATCAACTTATGTTCCCCAAAGGAGTTTTCCCTGAAATAACCCTTTCTCCCCCCAGCATAAATATTTTCTATTTATCTTAGCAACTAAATTCTTAACAAACAACAAACTGGCCTTGTAGCCTACTGAGGTCACCAGCGGCCCTTGGTCGTGCTTTCAGCTTTCAGTCATTCTCTGCGAGTTCCCAGTGCGATTCTCGGGGGGCTCGTGCCTGAACACCCGCCCCTCTGCTCTTCTCACTAGATCCCGACACGACGGGGCTTGGTCAGGGAAAGGCAACCAGCTCCATAGAGCAAAACTCGTTGGCCAACAGGTGGATAAAGTGCAGCTTTGAGAGCCAGAGAGGTACTACAGGGGGTGAGCGCTTGCCTTGCACACAGCCAGCCCTGGTCCAGATCCCAGAGGTGCATTTGGTCTCCAGAGCCCTCCAGGGGTGATCCTTGAGGGCAGAGCCAGGAGAAAGCCTTGGGCACAGACGTGTAGCCCCCAAACAAAATAACCAAACAATGTAATAAAATGCAATTTTGAGGGCCAGAATGATAGTGCAAGGATTAAGGGGGTTGCCTTCATATGGCCGACTCTGATCTGAATCCTGGCACCCGTATGGTTCCCTGAACCCAGCCAGGAGTGATCCCAGAGTACAGAACCAGGACTGAGCCCGGAGTACAGAGCCAGGACTGAGCCCTGAGCATCACTGGATGTGGCCCCCATTACCCCTTCCCCAACCCCATTTCCAATAGAAACTACAGTTGGTTGCAGCAAAGAAAACAGTGTGGGAATTTGTGCTCCTAACAAACAAACAACAACAAACCATTTGGTCAAAGTTTAGATCTTAGAAAGCAAAGGGTTTGCAAATGTGCATCCGGCTAAGAATAGAATCGCAGAAAAGAATAGAAGACGCACATCTGCAAGCAGAGAGGACTCCTGGGGTCCTTCAGATGGAGGGACACATGGGCAGAAACAGGATAGGAAACTCATGGACTCTGTTTTGTTTTGTTTTGTCTTTGTGCTCAGGGCTTCCTCCTGGCTCTGCACTCAGGGATCAGTCCTGGTGACACTCGAGGGACCATATGGGATGCTGGGGTACCAAATGATACCAAGTGAACCCTTAGAACCCGAAAGCTCAGACAGTCCATGTGCTGGGGGTGACCACCGAGGGCTGCCCAAGGGACTCTAAAGCTTGGACAGTCCGTGTGTGTGTGTGTGTGTGTGTGTGTGTGTGTGTGTGTGTGATTCCCTGCTTCCCAGCAACCCACCCCCACTGGACAAAGGAGGTGGAGATGGAGCACTGAGGAAGAGCAACGAGAGAGACACAGAGAGAGACAGAGAGAGAGAAAGAGAGAGAGAGAGAGAGAAGGAGGAGGAGGAGAAGAAAGAGGAGGAGGAGGAGAAAGGGAGCCTCTGGGGAGGAAGGCTGCTCTGGGTGCCTGCCAGGCACCTTCTGGTCCTGGTTTAAACAGGGAAAGAGCCTGAGGAAAATGTGTGGGTGGGAGGAAGCGGCAGCACCCGGACCAGTCCAGATGTAGAGCCCCTCCGGGATTCAGTCTCTCGTGCTCCCAGTGAGGGTCACCGCAGTGCCCACTTGGGGACAGGCCAGTCCTGTTGCCCACATGCGGGCACCTCTGGGAACAGCACCCCCGCTTCCAGCCTGCCCCTTCCGGAGCCTCTCTGGCTCACTCCCGAGTGAGACTTTTTCCTCCAGCTTTTAAGTTCCTTTTGTTCTCATCTCGGCTAGAGATCAGACCTAGCCCCGGTGTAACACTTTTCAGTTACTCGTTTCACAAGCATGGCATTTTCTCAAATACAAAGATATCCTCAAAATCCAATAGGCAGCCTTTTTTTTTTTTTTGCTATGGGGTGGGTGAAACCATGGGACAGTGTTTTGTTTATTGAGTGATTAGGGGGGGCACCGGGCCACCCTTAAGAGTGCTCAGGGGGTCATACATGCTGGGGATCAAACTGGGGTCAGCCACAGGCAAGGGAAGAACCTTAATCCCTGTATAAGGGGGCTGGAGCGACAGCACAGCGGGTAGGGCCTTTCGGCCGACCCGGGTTCAATTCTCAGCATCCCATACGGTTCTCCAAGCACCGCCAGGAGTAATTCCTGAGTGCATAAGCCAGGAGTAACCCCTGTGCATTACCGGCGAAATTAAAATAATAATAATAATAATAAATAAATCCCTGTACTAGTTCTTCAGCCCTTCCATGACTGGCGTTTAAGAGAGAGAAATGCTGGGAAACTGACATTGAGACCAGAGTCTACAGCGGGAGTGAAAGCGTTTGGGACAGGCATGCCCAGCACTGCAAGCAATATTGACACTTTTGCTACTGACTGTGGAAAGTGCTGGCCTGGTCGACTTGAGCCTGGAGGTGCTGCCCTGGGTAAAGGAGCTGTGACCCTGGCCTTGACCTCGACCCTGGCCTTGACCTCCGCCTTGGCCTCCCTCTGGGGAGGCTCCCAGCTGGTGCACGCAAGGCCTGGGGGTAGTGAGTCTGTTGGAGGTAGGGAAGGCCCAAGGCTGCTAAAGTGGGGTGTTGGGGTCTAAGGAAATGTGAGGGACGGGGTCCCAGCCTGGGGCTGTTGGCCCTGGAATGGGCTCGGATGACTGGGTGCCTCGATGGGGCCTCTCTGGATATTCGTCTGCCAAGCCACAAGCTCGAGGAACTGAATGTCTGAGCACGTGGGGCCTGTCCCTGCTCTTGGGCAGTGCTCTGGGCTGGCCTCGAGGCTGCGGCTGGCGTTTTCTCACCAGGCGCGCCGCGTAGCTTCCAGGAGAGCCAGGATAACGCTCAATCAGCAGTGGGGTCAGCTCATCCTTCCACATGGTGGAGAGGTTGGTGCTCTGGACGACTTTCCGGAGAGACGAGGAACTCAGCTGGGCCGGCTGGTGATGATTCTGAGGAGAGAAAACAACTCACACAGACTGGCATCTCGGATGGCTGCAGGCTTTCCCTGAGAGCAAGTTACTAAAGCACCAAACCGCTCCAGCTGATCCAGCTCTGGGCTGAAAACCCTGTGGCCTTTTGGGGGCACAGTGGGTAGAGCACCTGCCTTGCATGCAGCCGACCTGGGCTCAAATCCCTGTATCCGATATGGTCCCCTGAACACAGAGCCAGGAATAAGCCCTGAGCATTGCTGGGCATGGCCCCAAACCCAAAAAACAAAAACAAAAGACCCTCTGTGGCCTTCTTGGAATGGGGGCAGGTGGGATCCCTTCCTTTCTGGCTAGGCCCAGCGGCCGCCGTACGCACCTCCTCCTACCACGGGCCTGACAGCCCAGTAGGAGCACAGCAAATTTGCTGGGAAAGTTGCATCGAAGATCAAGTCTAGTAAGTGAATAAATAACACAGAAGGCCCAGCTATTAACCAGCACAGCAGAGCCACAGACAACAACTTTAGCAGTACCATTGTGAGATATACCAACCAATAATCACAAATTGACTTTTATTGATCTCTTTTCTAATCATTCCGTTTGTATTTTGTTGTAGTAAGCACCATGAAGTAAATTCGTTGTGTGCCTGCTAAGGGGTCAGACTTGGCGGGTGAAAGGGAATCTGGGGTCATCAGCAGAGGGAAGGTCACTCCTGTGGTGGGTTGGTGTTGGAACACTGCATGCCTGGAACTACTGAACTGGGAACAACTTTGTAAATCACAGTGTTATGATAAAAAAAAAATTAAAGACTTTCTCTCAGACATTTTGCAATCAGAAAAGAATCACTTTGAACCTCAAAATAAAGGGCATCTCGCTGCAGCCGGAGAAATAGTATGGGGGATGCCGTGCAGACTTGCACACAGCCAACCCCCCCAGACCTCAGTGAAATCCCCAGCACCCCATAGAGCCACCTGGATCCCATTAGGAATGCAGAACCAGGAGTAAGCCCTGAGTACCCATGTGTGTGACTCAAAAACAAAATAAACAAACAACTCCACTTCAAAACTGGCTTCTTAGATTGAGATGGGCTAAGTGACTGTTGTGGCTGTCCATCTACAAAACTGACATTGTACTTTGAACCAGAGTATTATTAGTTATTAATAGTTATTTCCTTGTCACTTTGAATGACTTTATTTTCTTTTTGGGTCACACCTGGAGATGCACAGGGGTTACTCCTAGCTCTACACTCAGGAGTTACTCCTGGCGGTGCTCAGGGGACCCTATGGGATGCTGGGAATCGAATCCTGGTTGGCCGCGTGCAAGGCAAACGCCCTACCCGCTGTGCTACCTCTCCAGCCCCCACTTTGAATGACTGTTAGTACGCATTTTCTATAAAACTAGGGTTTAAAAACAGCAATTTTTGGGGGGGGGGATATTTTTGGTGGGACTTTTTTTTTTTCATTTTGGGCCACACCAGAGGTGCTCAGGGGTTACTCCTGGCTCTGCACTCAGAGATCACTGGTGGTAGGCTGAGGGTACCACCTGGGGATGCTGGGGTACCACACTGTGGAACCTGGGTCAGCCTCATGCAAAGCAAGCACCTAACCCACTGTACTATTGCTCCAGCCCCTGATCTCCTGTTCCTAAGAAAATCAGTATTTAAAAAAACTGTTGCTAGCAATACAATACTTTGTTAGCATAACTGTTTTATGTTTCTTTTTTGGGTGACTTTGGGGCCACACCTGGCAGCACTGACCACTATGGGCTATGCTCAGAGACTTTACAGCCCTGCAGTGTGTACTGCAGTCGGCTGCATGTAAAACAAGGGTCTTGCCTGGATACTATCTTTGATGCAGAATTGTTGTTTAAAAAGGTGGTTTAGCGTTACAGAACTAGCAAAGAATTTTAAAGAGTCTGTGGACCACCTGGGCTGGACGACCTTTGAGCCAGTCTCTTGGTTCTCACTCCTCTCCAAAGCCAAGGGGTTTGAGTTGGAAGAGCACTTGGCTGCAGACTCTAACCAAATGGCTGTGAAACTCTTGAAATGAACTGCCTGTTGAATAATATCGCTGAAAGGTGATATTTGAGTATAATACAGGCAGTTGGTTTGAAGATATAGTATGAAAAGGATTTAAAAAAAATTGCTCACTAATCATCTTCTCAGAGATTAGGTGCTGAAACGATCACTACTGATATTATTAAATTTTAAAACTAATTTTAGGGCCAAAGAGACAGTACAGGGGTTTAGGCGCAGGCCTTGCATGTGGCAGACCCAGTTCAATTTCCAGTACCGCTTTCGCTCCAAGCACCGCCAGGGACAGCCCTGGAGGTCCCCGGCACTGCTTCGGGGGATTGCACCCTCTGGTCCACTTGAACCTCCGCCTGGCTAGCCAGGCACCAGCCTGGGCCTCTGAACACAGCGAAGGAGCACCTGCCCGGCAAAACAAACAAAAGCAAAAGTAAACAGTAGGTAAAATCAGTTTCATTAGGGGGCTTGGGCTGGCGTGCTCCGGTGGTGCCTTTGGATCTCCCGGCACCTTCAGAATCTAAACGCTGAGGTTAACTCAAGCAGGCATCTAAGAGAGCAAAAGGCAGTAAACAGAACAGTAGGCCGTGGTAGTCAGAGACATTCAGGGTTAATGATTAGTTAGCCTGGCTAGGGAGCCCATCTGGCCTCTCCTAGGCCTCCCCCACCACGTAGGGACCTGCGCCAGGAGATGAGCCTCGGAACCGGTCTCATCACTCACGTGACACCACCTGGCTCTGGCCTCCTGGAGCCTGAATCTGCCCCTGGTCCTGGCTGCACTGGTGGGGGTTTGGCTCCTCCTCCTGGTACCTGGCTCCACCCCCTGGTGTTAGCTCCTCCCCCTGGGTTCTGGCCCCTCCCCCTGGTGTTAGCTCCTCCCTCTGGGTCCTGGCCCCTCCCCCTGGTGTTAGCTCCTCCCTCTGGGCTCTGCCCCTCCCCCTGGGCCTGATCCACCCCCCAGAACCTGGTCCAGCAGCACCTTCTAGGTGCAGCTAACCTGGCCGGCTAACCTGGTAATGCCTGAGCACGGTAGGAGGGGTGTAGGGGCCACTTCCCACGAAGCATGTGGCAGTGTATGTTGGTCGGCTCCTGGAGGTCCAGGCCTTCCCAGCCGCCTCCGGAGCCAAGCATGGCCTGGTTCACGTCCATCAGGCAATCAAAACTGGGCATGTTTGGGGCCCGAGCGATAGCACAGCGGGTAGGGCGCTTGCCTTGCACGCGGCCGACCCGGGTTCGATCTCCGGCATCCCATAGGGTCCTCCAAGCACTACCAGGAGTGAGTGATTCCTGAGTGCAGAGCCAGGAGAGATTCCTGAGCATCACCGCGTGTGACCCAAACGGCCCAAAATCTTGAAAACTGGGCACATTCATCCACGGAGGATTTGCAAGATGAACTCATTTTCTCCAGTCATCTCACCTGCCCAGCACTCAGGACCCTCATTCCCATGCCCACAGTGAAAGCCAAGGCTAACCAACCATAATATGGAGATGATATTTATCTCCATAAATATGGAGATCGGAAATAGCTAAGAGATTTAAACAAAGAGAGAGGCACTAGCCTTGCACCCAGTTGACTAAGGTCTCCTAAGCACTGTGTGCACGTATGCGCGTGCGTGCGCCCACACACGCCCACACACGCACACACACGCGTGCGCACGCACACACACGACTCAAGACAAAACAGCTGGAGAGCACAGAGTTAAGGCACTTGCCTTGCATGAGGCTGACCCAGGTTCAATCCCTGGCACCACATATGGTCCCCTGAGCCCCACCAGGAGTGAGCCCTGAGCACCATCAGGGGTGCCCCACACCCTCAAAAAAAAAGAGAGAGATTTAAGATAGAGTGTAAACTAAGCCTCCAGCCCCTCGAGCTGAAGCAAATGTGGTAGACAACTGCCTTGATTTACTGGGCAGACACGCCCAGCACACACGCCACGGGGGCTCCAAACAGAGATGACAAACTGCCCCCCGACTCTGGGCTCCCCCGCTTGTCCCGGCTCACCACCCCAAAACACAAATGACTCTGAGACCACCCAGATCAGAGCCCCCCGGTGAGTGAAGGATTGATTCAGAAGGGCCCCAATCTGTGATCCCCTGAACCTCCCTGAACTCCCACAGAACCTGACTGGCAGAACGCAGGGGCTGCACCTGGAGACCGTCAGGGGAAGGGGGGAAGGAAGTGGGGTGTGGCCTCTTGTGGTAAAAGCTCAAGCCCCCAGTGTTTCTTGATTCTTCTGGGCCCTTTTCTCTGGGTGCAGGCCTCCTCAAATAGGGTCTGCCACAACCCCCCCTCACATCTGTCTTCCAGACAGGCAGGAAGAACAGCAAGTCAGCTACAACACATTTTGGCTAAGAAGAGCAGTCCAGGGCCGGAGCCACAGTGCAGCAGGAAGGAAGGGCTTCTGCCTTGCACGAGGCCAACCTGGGTTCCGTTCCCAGCATCCCTTCTAGTTCTCCAAGCCCACCAGGAGTGATCTCAGATCTCAGAGGCTTAAGCACTGCTGATGTGTTCCAAAAACCAATTAAAAAATATATATATATTAAATGGCACTCATGATGGGAGCCAGTGGGAGGTGATGCCCAAACTAAAGAAGTTCTCAGGGGCTGTCAAGGCAAGCATGCCTCAGGGACCGTCACTGCCTCATTCTCTGCAGCAGACTCTACCGGGCAGGCCACTGGTGCTTGGTCAACCAGCTTTGTGGTGGGGACCCTCTGCAGTAAGAAGCCGGAGACCCAGGTATCAACGTCCCTAAACAAACACCTGTGACCATCTGTGACTCTGAGACAAGACTCCTAGTGGACCTCAGTGGGAAAGCAATGAGGATGCTTTGCTCCCAGGGAAATGTCTGGTTGGCAGGCAAAACAAAGTGGACGATTACAACAGCCTGTTATACCCTGAAGCCACGCACAGGAGCTTCAGAAGGGCTCGTCAGCGCCAGCTCCCTTCCATCTTTAATCAGGCTTTTCTTGTAAGCCCACATGCAGTGCCCAGGGCATAATGTGTTCTGATAAAGGGGCCACTGTGTTCGTGGTCAAGGAGTCTAGGAGACGCCAGAGACAGGTAAGAACAGTAAGAAGAGAGCAGCAGAGTCAATTCTAGATGGGTGACCCCAGGGCAGATAAATCACTGACAGTTTCTGGCTCACTGAGACACACTCCCCTGATTAAAAAAAAAAAAAGTCACACCCAAGACCCTTCACCATTGCCATGGGGACTCAGGACATGATCTGATGTGTCTGGGATCGAAGGGCAGCTTGACACAACCAACCCCAAACCTCTCTCTGGTCGGAAACCCGGAGTTTATTCCACCCTTCTTAATGACCCACTTCTATACTTAGCAACGGGGCCCTGGGCACAGATGAGCGCCCGCCCTCCCTTCTGGTGCCATTCTCTTGCCTTGAGTAAACCACTCCTCAGAGCAGCTCCTGTCTCAGCCCCTCTGACTTAACGGCTATTCTGGGTGTGAGCTCCTCGGCACGCTTCAGCCGTCATGCCCGAAAGAGTCTGACCATGTCACCTTGTTTCTACAGGGACAGTGGAGGCAGCTTTCAAGTCAGCCCACTGTGGGCTTCTGAGCCAGCGTCGGCCAGGGTGACACTGCAGGGTGGAACAGAGGGCGGCTCTCGGACGGACACACCTTGATTTCAAAATCAGACCTTTCTGGACCACACCTCTACCCGATGCACCAAGGCACTCCTTGCTGCATTACAACTGTTCACCGCACACAGGACAGGAAGGCACACCTCTCAGCCCGGGCCAATTCCCTTCCCGGAAGGCCAGCTAGGCTAAGCCTCAGAGTCGGGCAATCGGGGTGGGGGTGGGGGGTGGGGAGCAGGAACCAGGAAGACAGGGCGGATTTTGTCACTTGCTTCCTGGGCATTTGAACGGATCCAGTTTCCCCCACAGAATGGTGGCAAAATGCTTCTCAAAATAAACGAGACCTCTCTCTGGGTCTTCAAAGCGGTGTTCAGGGCTGGGGACCAGGTTGGGAAGGATACCAGACTCGTGCGTGAGGCCCTGGCTCCAATCAAACAACAAGACAGACATCCCTCAGAAGCTCAGCAGTCTGCCATAGTTTCAGGACCTTCTTACACCTTTTCCCAGCCCCAGACATCTCCTTCCCACCAGCCATCTCCCTTAGCTGCGGTCCAGCAGTGGCCATCAAATCCACACCTTTAAGGAGAGACGCCTTGAGGGGTTCTCCTGGTTCCTAACAGCCCTCTCTGACTCTTATGAGGATGTACCCCCTTCTTCCTCCTTCCTTCCCTCCCACTCTTGCCCCCATCCCCACCCCTCCCTTCTTCCCTCCTACACAGGGCTTCACAAGACCAGGGCCTTTGCTCAATTTCCCGGGTCTCCCACTGGCATCTGCATGCGTCAGGACTGGAGGCTGGTGGGTCAGCCCAGCCCCAGAACTGGATGAGCTGTTCCCGAAACAGGCGGGTGGATGGGTGGATTCACCCAGGGGCCAACCCTGCCTGTGCCCTGTGGGGCAGGAACCCAGCGGTCGGATGCCTGTTGCGGGTTGTTCCGCAAATCCTGGACTTCCCCCGCTGTAGGATCCTCACCAACCCCTTTCCGTGACCTCTTGCAGTATTGAGGGCAAGACAGAAATGGGAAAGGGTTGCACAAGAATGCGAGAACCTAGCAAGTCTCTCTCTCTCTCTCTCTCTCTCTCTCTCTCTCTCTCTCTCTCTCTCTCTCTCTCTCTCCCCCTCTCCCTCTCCCCCTCTGTTTCTGTCTCTGTCTTTCTCTCTCTGTCTGTCTCTATCCCCTCTCTCTATTTCTGTCTGTCTCTCTCTCTGTGTCTCTGTGTCTCTGTCTCTGTCTCTGTCTCTCTCTCTCTCTATCCCCCTCTCTCGCCTGTCTGTCTGTCTGTCTGTCTGTCTGTCTGTCTGTCCGTCTGTCTGTCTCTCTGGAATCTCCACACTAGTAACAGTACTGAGTGCAAGGGGAAGGGGGGCCCCCGGGAGGAGAGCGGGGGCGGGAGCGCGGATGAGTTCTGGGAGGGGAACCGGGGGCGCCAATACGTGGATCTGGGGGCGCGGGCTCGGGGACCCGCACTGGGATCCGAGTGCGCGGGGTGGAGGACGTGGATACTGGATCGCGGGTTCTGGGATGGGATCCCGGGGCGGGATCGGGGGCGGGGAAGTCGCTCAGCGGTTGTGAGATCGGAGCCCGGGATCCGGGGCGCAGGGTCTGGGCGGGGATCCGGGATGCGGGGTCGTGGCGGGGATCCGGGGCGCCGGGTGGAGGACGCGGGTGGAGGCGCGCAACCCGGGGCGCGGGGTCGGAGACGGAGATTCTGGGCGCGGGGCAAGGGATGCGGATCCAGGGATCCGGGTCCGGGCGGGGATGCGGGGCGCGGGGTCGAGGACGCGGGTGGAGGCGCGCGGTGGGGCGCGCAACCCGGGGCGCGGGATCAGGACGGGAATCTGGGGCGCGGGGGTCGGGACGGGGATGGGGGGGGCGGGGGCGGGGAAGGAGCTGCGGGACCCCGGACCGCGGGGCCGGGACCGGGATGGGTGCGGCGCCCTGGGCCTCTCGGGGGTCGGTGACAGCGCCCGCGGGGACGCGCCGCGGCCGGGCTGCGCGGCGGGCCCGGGTCCTGCTCCCGAGAGACCGCGGGGTCCCCGCCCGCCCTCACCTTCTCCTGGGTCCAGGGGATCGTACCCCGGGCCGGCGCCGACAACGCGGCCGCCAGCAGCAGCAGGTGGAGGGGGCCCGCGACGCGCCTGTCCCAGCTGCCGCCCATCGCTCAGTCTGGGCGCCGGGGCCAGGGCCGCCGACACGGACGCGCACGGGAGCGCGCGCCCCCGGCCCAGGGTGGCTCCGCCCCGGCCCGACCCGCTCCGCCCCCGGCCCAGTTTTGCTTCGCCCCCGACCCGGCCCGCTCCGCCCCCGGCCCGAGCTGCTCCGCCCCCGGCCCGGTCCGCTCCGCCCCCTGCCCGAACTGTTCCGCCCCCGGCCCAGCCTGCCTCGCCCCCGGCCCAGTTTTGCTCCGCCCCCGGCCCGGCCCGCTCCACCCCTGGCCCAGCCCGCTACGCCTCCGGCCCGGCCCGGTCCGTCCCTGGCCCGACCTGCTCCACCCGCGGCCCTGTTTTGCTGCTGCCCTCCGCCAGGCCCGCTCGGTCAGCTGGGACCTGAGCTGGCCTGGCTGGGGCGGTGGGAAGCGGGATAGGTGGGAGGAGAGAAGGAAGAAGCGATGGACCGAGGAGGGAGGGAGGAAGTCAATATGGAAAGGAAGGAGAGGTCCAAAGGAGGAAAACTATCAGGGGCCAGAAAGGTAGTTCAGTGGGTTGGTGCAGGAGGCCAGGTCTAATCCCGGGGAATCCCACTAACTGTGGCCCAAACCCACCGCCAAAAAACTGAAAAAGAAAAGGGCAAGGGTTTTATGAATGCACTGAGCAATCTTCTTACCTTGGCTTCCCTCCTTCCTGGAAGCTTTCCCCAGAAGCCCCCCCCCCACCCCCCGCTGGCTTCTTCCCACCGCAACCTGCCTTGCTCCAAACCCTGCCTAAGCAGGATAACTCACGATTATTCATGTGAATAAGTCTATTATCCAGTGCACCCCGTGGAAAATGAACCAGCTGTGGACTCAGTGCTAGGACTCAGGACTCAGTTCCGGGAGGGAATCGTGAGATTCTGTGACCAGAATCAACTTTTCAGGCCAACTGCTGAAGAGGATCCCCAGGAGAAGCCGAGGGCAGCTTTGTCAAGCCCCCAGTGCCAGTTGTCAGTCACACCCCACCCAGTGTAGCCACGCCCCTGTCCATCTGTCGGCCACGGCCCTGTCCAGCTGTCAGCCCCACCCCCCAGCTGTCAGCCACACATCCCCCACCCAGTGTAAGCCACACCCCAGCCCAGCCGTCAGCCACGCCCCCTCCCAGCTGTCAGTCACACATCCCCACCCAGTGTATGCCACACCCCAGCCCAGCTGTCATTCACGCCCCCTTCCAGCTGTCAGCCACACCCCGTGTAAGCCCCGCCCCACCCATCTGTCAGCCACACCCCCACCCAGTGTAGCCACGCCCCTGTCCAGCTGACAGCCCCACCCCCAGCTGTCAGCCACACATCCCCCACCCAGTGTAAGCCACACCCCAGCCCAGCCGTCAGCCACGCCCCCTCCCAGCTGTCAGCCACACCCCTGTGTAAGCCCCGCCCCGCCCAGCTGTCAGTCACATCCCCACCCAGTGTAAGCCACACCCCAACCCAGCCGTCAGCCACGCCCCCTCCCAGCTGTCAGTCACACCCCCGTGTAAGCCCCGCCCTGTCCCACCCAATGTATGCCACACCCCAGCCCAGCTGTCATTCACGCCCCCTTCCAGCTGTCAGCCACACCCCGTGTAAGCCCTGCCCCGCCCATCTGTCAGCCACACCCCCACCCAGTGTAGCCACGCCCCTGTCCAGCTGTCAGCCCCACCCCCAGCTGTCAGCCACACATCCCCCACCCAGTGTAAGCCATACCCCAGTCCAGCTGTCAGCCACGCCCCCTCCCAGCTGTCAGCCACACCCCGTATAAGCCACGCCCCACCCAGCTGTCAGTCACACATCCCCACCCAGTGTATGCCACACCCCCGCTCACGTCAGTCACGCCCCGCCCAGATGTCAGCCACACCTGAAAGCCACATCCTCGCCAGCTTTAAACCACGCCCCCGCCCTGCTGTAAGCCACACCCCACACTCTCCAGCCTCCGAATTGCCACTAAACTCCTAGTCTGGGGCAACACCAGAAGAGGACCCAAGGCACAGTCAATGCAAAAGGCACCTTGCTTGCTCGCATCAGCTGCCTCCATGACCCCAGTTTGATGCCTGGCACCGCAGATGGTCGGTCTCCTGAGCCCCACCAAGAATGACCCCTGAGCACAGAGCCAGGAGGAGGCAGTGAGCCCCTCTGGGAGGGGCCCCCTACCCAAGCCAAACCAAACAGAATCTCTAGAGATGACGCAGATGGTCGACTGTTTGACACCAGTCTTTTTTGGGGGGGGGTTGGGTCACATCCGGTGATGTACAGGGGTTACTCGTGGATCTGCACTCAGGAATTATTCCTGGCGGTGCTCAGGGGACCATATGGGATGCTGGGAATCGAACCCAGGTCAGCTTTGTGCAAGGCAAACATCCTCCCCACTGCTCTATTGTCCAGCCCCGACACCAGTCTTGAGGCTGGTATTTTGGGTCATCTGATACCAAACACAGAGCTCCACCCTCAAAAAAGAAAGAAAGGAAACATGGTGCCACCAGAGGCAGGGCCAAGGGGTCAGCCATGCCCTGGACGAAAGGCCAGTGACCCTGCTTGGTCATGTTTTTATTTGGTGCCAGATGTTGTAAGGTTTGCTTTGGGGGTGTCCAGCCCTCTTGCCGCCTTTTGGCCGCCCTCACTTCATCCCGGGCCCAGCAGGCTGGGGGATACTTTGACCCTTTGGCAGCTTCGTTGCAGCCTGGTCACCCAGAGAGCCTGAGCAGCCTGTGCCCCAAATCACTGGACCCTGGGGGAGTCAACGTTTCCCTGGCGGTGCCCCTGGTTCCGAAGCTCTTCCCTGGCAGTGGAGACCCGGCACAGGGTCTCCGTGCTCTGCTAGGAGTTCCCTTTGGGGGTAACTGTCACAGCTGCTGGCTGGCTGCGCTCACCCTGAGCTCTGGAGTATGGGACTCCTTTCCACAGAGCCATAGGTTCCCGGAGAATCCGCACCTGGTGTCTGAAACTCTCTCTCCTCCCAGAACCCCTCCTACAATTCCAGCCTCCAGCGGATGAGCAGCCACTTCCGGAAGAAGGCATAAAATGGCTAAGAGTGTATAAAGCACCCCATTGTCATTCAAGATTAAGGAAATGCAAATCAGGACAACACCCCCAGAGCCTCAAGAGAGAGAAGGGGAGACCCTGCCCAGTACCATTCTCCGTGGGCCACATGGCTGTTGCATCACACACACCCAGCTTGATCTGCTCAGCCCACAAATCACCCCACCCACCTCCCCAGTTCATTCATGTTCTTTCAATTTTACCCTGGTACAAACTCAAGCGGGCCCAGTAACATCTGCATCGTGAGACTTGTTGTTACTGTGTTTGGCATATCGAATATGTCACAGGTAGCTTGCCAGGCTTTGCCGTGTGGGCAAGATACTCTCTGTAGCTTGCCAGGCTCTCCGAGTGGGGCGGAGGAATCGAACCCAGCTTGGCCAGGCCGGCTGCGTGCAAGACAAACGCCCTACCGCTGTGCTATCACTCCAGCCCCTGGTACAAAAAGCAGAAAAAATTGCTTAGTGGGCCTGAGCAATGGCATTGCGGAGAGGGTGCTTGCCTTGCACGCAGCCAACCCGGGTTCGATTCCCAAGGTCCCGCATGGTCCCTGGAACCCCCAGGAGTGATTCCTGAGTGCAGAGGCATGAGTTATCCAGAGCATTGCAGAGGCCCCCAACAGATAAAGGTCTCTGGTTTTGGCTTCACTGTAAACCGGGGCCATGCCACCTGATTTGGCCTCAGTGCAGGCTAATGTAAGTGCTCTCTGGAGCTAAAGTTCCACGAGCTAGGGCAGGGATTAAGCTCACGTGTCACGTGGCATTCCTGGGGGATAATCCCGGGGCCCACAGCAGTGAAATGCTTCTGCAAGCCCGAGGCTCTGCAAGCATGGGACCACCTGTTGGTTGGCCGAGAAGGCTGGGGTAGTAACTTCAGGGACTCCTAAGCACTGTTTGAGAGCCACCCCTAAAAAAAAAAATAATCCATAAACTCATGTATTGTCCAGTAGGTTAGGTCTGAGAAATGCATCTTCCACTTAAGGTATTCTCTTTTGGTGTTGTATGAAAGGAGAGAAGGTTACCCCCCACCCCCCCCCACCCCCCCCTTGACGAGGATGAAAGAGGCTTCAGCCTGCAACACGCATACGGTTAAGGCACTGCCACCTACTGCCGGGCATCTAACCAACATTTTTGGATAGAAGCAGTAAGAGGGATTGCGTCTGCCACAGAGGCAGGAGGTGGGAAAGGGTGGGGGCAGGGGGCAGGGATATTGGGAATATTGTGGTGGAGAATGGGCACTGGTGGAGGGATGGGTACTTGAGCATTGTTCGACTGAAACACAATCATGAAAGTCAGTAAATTTGTAACTGCATCTCACGATAATTCATTTTGAAAAAAAAAAGATATTCTCTTCTGGGGGCTGGAGCAATAGTACAGTGAGGAGGGCGTGTGCCTTGCACGCAGCCGACCCGAGTTCCATCCCCGGCAACCCATATGGTCCCCAAAGCACTGCCAGGAGTAATTCATGAGTGCAAAGCCAGGAGTAACCCCTGATCATCGCTGGGTGTGACCCAAAAAGCAAAAAAATATATATTCTCTTTTGTTGTTTGTTTACTTCCTTCATCACTGTTGCTGCCGGACCCGAGGTTACACCTGTGCTTGGTAGCAGCGCCCCACATTTCCAGTTGGGGTGCTCTGGGAATCACGCAGTGGTCCCAGTGCTCCTGCACTTAGCCACAGTGCTCACCGAGGCCTATGTTCCTTTTCAGTTGCAGTGTTTGCACATATGCGATCTGGCGGTAGAACTCCTGTTTTTTTTTGTTTTGGGGCCACACCGGGTGATGCTCGTGGGTCACTCCTGGCTCTGCACTCAGGAATTAGTTCTGGTGGTGCTCGGGGGACCGTGTGGGTTGCTGGCGATCGAGCCTGAGCTTCAGCTGTGATTGGGGGTGGTTTAACCAGGGCTTACTGCAGTTCACCATGTGCTCTCCAGAGGGCGCACTTCCTGGTCTTGGCATTCACCTATCTTTTTGTTTCGTTATTTGGGCCACACCTGGTGGTGCTCAGGGTTTACTCCTGGCCCAGTGCTCAGGGATCACT